GGGGCATGTTGGTGAATACTGGCCGATACGTGGACACGACAAGCTCACGAGACCACCATAGAAGACATGGTAATGAAGTTTATGTGCGGTACTCTAGACAAGCAGCTCAGCTCAGCTCGGAAGGAGGAGGGAAGGAGGAGAATCTCGTTCCAAGGACACAACCAACGCTCACGACCTTCATTCAGGCACCATTTCAGGCGACATCACACGGCCAAAACGATGACACATCATCCATGAGAACGCTGCGAGATACTCACATGTGCTTGGGTTCCTTGCCCATCACGACCCGGACCTAACCAAGCATAGACGGCGACGGCGACAACGAGCGTGGCGCGGACTTGGAGATGAGGGGATAGCCTTCTCACTCACGGCGGCAGAAACAGCAGTCGACACTTCCAAAATCACATACAGCAACGATGTGAAACAAAACACCTTGACCGTACGAGAAAAAAAAAAAAACTTCAACGAACAGCAGACACGACCAAACCGCTCAGCGGCCTTCACAACCAGGGTTTTTCGACCACGTGAACATGTTGCATGAGGCATGCAACCGGGAAAAAGTTGGGGTAGGGTCAGGGTTTTGTAGGGATAGGGTCTACGTACTCATACCTGTTACATTTCCTTGTACACTTCATTTCTTGCAAAGGCGATCCGAACCGTCGGACCGTACCGTACCGTACAAAAATCATCCCGTACCACATAGCAACCAACACCATATTCTTCCACGTGATACCTGGACAGCGGCGTCGTTAAGCTTGTCGTCCATCTCCTTTGCGAGGAGAGCGCTCGCGCCGATCTCGTCCTGGGTAGACTCCCGGCCCTGCATACACCAAAAGACGAACCAACAAGAAGCAAAACTTTAACATCGGGGTGGGGGTAGCTAGCCTGTGACCACGGAAAGCGCCCGCGTTAGATGGACCGGGACACACGCATGTTTGAAGGTACTGAGCAGGGATCAGCACGTGAATTACGGTGAGCAAAATGAAATCGGCACCGCTACCGCTACCGCAACCGCCACCGCCACCAACAACCAAGAAGATCGGACAGCACCCGACAGTGGTGGCACACAGCAGCTTTAGTTGCAGCGGTCGCGTCGCATACGGCAGCGACCACAGAGAGGGGAAAAACTCGACAGATGCCCCCCCCGCAACACAGCAACCTCCACATCCTACACGACAGCACGACTATCTGTCAGTCCCAGATCATTCCGCATGCACACCGAAACCTCGATGGCCAAAAAAAAAAACATCGCCAGGGGTTTTCAGGCTTCTCGGTAGGGGAAGCGACCAACAAGCAATCATTGGTATGACAACGGCACTCGATGGTACTCCAACGGGAATGTACTCCAACGAACCTGCCAGAAGTAGATGAGGTAGCTTTCCTTGCCCCCCACGAGGTACGTGTAGAGCATCACGTAGCAGTCGCCTCCGTAGAACTGCCCGTACTTCTCCTGACAAGTCGAGAAATAAAATAATTCATTCCGCGCGGACGGGTGTCGCAAGTTAACGCGGGATGGGGGGGGGGGGG